ACAAACTCTCTCGTCTCGTCACCGCCAGAGCGCGGAAGACGATGCCTTCTCGTCCTCGCGTTCGACGAGAAGTAATAATCAGAGAGAAATAATCAAAACAAATTACAAAAACAGAAAAACAAAGAATCATGAACACGCGGAAAAAAATACGATCACATAAGAAGCTTGATAGTTGGAAGGAAAATTAGATATATAATGTTGTACAGAATGAAGGGCAAAAAACTTTGTCAAGCAGATGGGTATGTACTCTTGGCTGATTCGTGGTTTCAAAGAATAATGTTTAAACAAAATACCAAAAGATTCACCCCCTTGCTCAGAAGAAGAGTCTGATGCTATGGACAAAGCAATATATTTAGCCACCCTCTACATCTACACAGAGCTGATGTCAGACTCGAAAAAGCCTAATGTTCCTATTGAATGTTTTATTGACAGCAAATCTCTTTATGAAGCACTCCGGTCCAACAAGACTGTTACGGAAAAGAGATTGAGAGTTGAAATCAGTAGCCTGAAGCAGATGATAGAACTTGGGCAAATTTCGAAGATTCACGAATGCTCATCAACAGAACAACTCGCAGATTGTCTGACGCAAAAGGGATGCTCATCTTTAAATCTAATCAAAACATGCACCCATGGAAAGCTGTATTTCGAAGAATTGAAAATAAAATGAGTTTGATAGTTCAATAGTTTTCCATGAATCTTATGTTTTTGTTTACAGTAGTCATTACTGTCATGTCTTTATTTCATTGCATGCCTCACTGGTCCCTTGTATAAATAGTGTTCATTCAGCTGTAAAAGGACAGTCTGCCCTGATGCTATGTTGAGCATGTGATCTGTCGGTTTGAGTTATTTACTTTCATAATGAACTTTTATTCGACTTATCAATTTATTTCTCATATATAAATATTTTTGGCTATATCTGTATTTGCAATGCAACAACTCAGACTTGAGAGGTGATTGTTTATGGAAACGAGTTTTTGACTGACCTGCTTAATCAATTGTTTTGATTTTTATCATCATAAATACAAAGTACCTTACAAACGGAACTTTGTGATGAACTTGAGTAGAGAATATGTTGTAGGGATTATTAGTTATTTAGACCATATTTTTAACAATAATTTCCAGTTAGGACAAGATTTCTTCTTACTTTGAAAAAGGCAATGCCGAAACGATTTGACGATAAGTATTTAATTAGTTTTCAGAACAACTGCGTCAGTTGAAAACACGCTATATTGCCCTTGAGCAAAACAGACTTGTAAAAGCTTGTTTTTATTTACCCTGACCACTTGTAGCGGACTAGGTAATTAGCTACTGACGACATTCTAAATTTTTTTAAAACAATTGCAGAGATTTAATTACGGGACTTTAACTTTATTTAGGATAAATGACAATACGTTAGAATCACCCCTAAAGACATAACATTCGTGTCATTGTCACTATATATAAACAGTAAATCATTGCTTTAATATTCATTCACTGAACTGAACGTGTTATTATATTCTTCTCGTGTCGTCAAATACAACAAATAAAAGGTTGGTGACTTTGTAATATAGTCGTTGTCTGCTGGGTTCAGCTCTGCCCTACCGAGAGAGGGAGAATCGTGTGCTGGGTTAAACTCTATTCAACCGAGAGTTTGGGCTTTTAACCAAGCTCTATTTTTAATATAACAAGCATCCTATAATGTCACTGAAATGTGATGCAAAAACACTTCAAACTATTTTATAAGATTGAAATTCCACACTCTAAACCAGTGGTTCCCAACCTTTTTTTTATATCGCGGCACCCTATCTAGCTCTTTAAATATTCACGGCACACCTATCACAAAACTCGAACATTTTCTACTCATAAAGAGTGCGATAGTCGGACGCCAACAAATGGTTAATAGTTACCGGCATTTACAACTGTTCTCACATTGATGTAAACGAGAGCGTCTTCGGAGCACCTCACATTATTGTAAAAATGTTGCGCGGCCGCACGGGTAATACGTGGTCTTCAAACGCACCGCCGATGACGTGCTTCGGTTTTACTCGCCGTTCCACGTTACGCTCCTATTATTATCACATGTATTCTCACTTTTTCACAACCTAATTAATTTTTGTTACAATTCAATATGTTTCTTCCATTGCCAAAATCATTCAATAGTGTTATTGTCGGCATTTGCGAGAGAAATGAAAGAGGCAAACAAACTGTATTTCATTACAACAATTAATTATTATCGCTAAAAACATTAAATATGCTTAAAGTTGTTATAAACAATTTTCACCGCTGGACGTATCTTTTCACGTTGTGAATTTCGTGCAAGGCCCGAGCATAATTTGGTGGCAAAGATCATAGCATTTACTATGTCGAAACGCTTATTCGACTTTTCTGACTATCCTAAAAAGATGACCGTTTGTGTTCGAGATATTAAATAATCGTCAATTCCATCACGCTCTCATGAAGTAGTGCAATTCACTAAATTTATGAAGGTTTTATTAAGTTTCATTGCATCAGTGTTTGGACTACCACGCGTTCCGCCAGATTACTGGCGTGATTACAGATCGCAAGGGTGGGAAAATATTTTCATCGATTCAAATAATTTTAACGAATTCGGGATTTTATTAAATTTTCTATATTTCGGGTCGGCTTTGATCTTTCTTGTCACCGTTTGTAAATAAATCAACTGTCCCAATTTTAAGCTAAAAATATTATCATTTCTGACGCCGGAATGCGGATATTCATGAAGACGATAGTTGACCTTCATGATTTTACTTTTCTATTGTGGCAGTTTTATTTTCGTATCAAATAGTGAATTAAAACCCTGCAAAGTTATTGCGTGGAATCCTGAATGCTATTTTGAGTTCAAATTATGATTAAATAAGTCGGCAATAATGGCAATTCTACAATAAATAAATTGATCATTACAGCTATCTGCCACTGCATACATGCGTGACCATTTTTCTCGTCTGCAAGCACAAGGCAACTGGCCACCTGCTCCTGCCACCTTCTGATAACTAACAGTACTACATGATTACTCTGCCGGGCACTACACCGCATAGACACACAAATTGGAGAATTTCCCACGGCACCCCTGACAATATTTTACGGCATCCCGGTTGAAAAACACTGCTCTAAACCACATGTAGTCGGAAAAATTTACCATCTTTGGAGCCAATTAAAAGACGACTCCGGATAACCAAAATTTCTAATGCGACACCAGTATAAAGATAATTTTGGGTCAAACTCTAAGAAAGCAGGCGGTAAAAACAAAAACTTTATAATTGGAACTTCGTGAATTATCTGTAGCTACTTGATACTGCCTTGGAGTTTCTGTCGGTTACATTTCTCTACTTTTAGTAACTAATTACGTCATAGTTCCCATTCACACAGAGGTTCAGAGCTACTTATTCACAAAATTACCTACAGAAATAATAAATGATATATTGTACGCCAGCTTGTATAATCAACTTTTCCATTCTCCCTCATCTTACATATAAACCTAAATAACTTTGCGTTGAAATTTAATAGTTTATGTAACTCATATTCTAAAATTCATTGCGATTTCTCTAAAAATAGAATATTGCAAACAATTAAAATTAATTCTGCGATGTCATTGTTTATCACGCGACATCAGTAAACCGAAACTGCGTCACGAGATAACTATGCGTATTCTTCTATATATATCCGATTGCGGTAAATTTTGAAGCATAAAATCAAGGCGACAAATTCAGTATATATCAGTATAGTTTGATGTCGATTGTTTAAAGGCAAGTAGCTAATGAAATGGTTTGCCGGGTTTTCAAAGGTTGAAAGAAACGGTTTCAACTTTGTAATTTATAGACGTGATTCGATACGATAATCATTTCTGACATTGGAATTGTTGCTGTAGTCATTCGGCTACTTTCAAAGCTTGGAAAACTGAATAAAAAATTATATATACTATATATATATATATATATGTTATAGTAAAAATGTGAGATGAGAAGAATTGTCAAACTTGGTTGAAAACTTAGTCCAAACTTTAAAAACATTGTCAGGTAAGAATAAGTAAGTTTGCTGTTTCTAGTCTTATGTTGCGTTTGCCTCAGGCGATGAAGTCAAACGAAAGGATCTGTGTCGCAGTGTGCTGTATAGATAGACGGCTGTTTTAATTTATTATTGCTAATATGGCCTGGTCCTTGAATGGCCAGGGTCGGTCCATAACTATACCGGCACACTCTATGGTTAGGGCCGGATTGTCTTTAACCTAATTACAAAATTACGATGTAACTTACTTACGAGTCCAGGTATACTGTATAAAAACGCTGCCCTATCTATAGGAATATAATATATAAAATGTGAATTTCATAGTTTGCGTGTAGAATAAACGCGGAGCCTATGGCCGATTGAGGACGCACAGTAATAGATTAGGGCCTAGCCACTAAATATCACGTAAACTTATGCAAAGTTCACGAAATTTAAATTTTAGTTTTCTAATCTACGAAACATAAACACGGGCACTCCCTGGGAAGATTATTTAATAACTGAGCATAAAAACGACCCTGCCAACACATATACTTTAGACTACGTTAACAACAGGTGAAGGTAACAGAAAATTGCGATAAAGTCGATTAGAAATGAATTCTTATCATTGAATATTTTCAGAACGAGATCTAGGCAATTACTAGAAAATGTATTGGACAAACATTTTGAAAATCTTAGTCGTCAAACTCTCAAATTTCATCCGGAATTATTCGATGCATTATTTAATCATCTCAGTGGCCCTTGGCATTTCAACGGTCGTCCGCACGCTTAGAGATTAGTTACCTTTGTTCCCAGAAGAAATATCGTGAGCTTGATTTGGGCAAAATTTTGTAAAACTGTTTTTCTGATTTTAGAACAACTAAAGGGTTAGTGAGCAGCGTCATTAAAAACAGCAGCAAGCTCATAGTTTGAACGTCATTGAATCCATTTCCTGATATATCCACGGTTTCATGTGCAAATAAACACAAACAATTTTTATTCACTCAGTTATAACGTAAATATCCTGAAATCGAGATGAAAATCTCAATCGTTTTTATGTTAATATACGTCATCGCTTCATCCTGGTGTCAAGATGAAACAGTGTTTCATTGCTCTCCAAAGCCGGGTTGCCAGATTGCACAATGTGATTCGGTTGCTGTAGGATGGGACAGACCAGGTTTCAACATTGATAAACACCTGCATGACAAAGAGTTTCCGATTACGTGCAAATCTATGAATAACACGGGATCAAAGAATTCTGGCAACTTGCTTCCTGTCGTAACTAGAAATATTTTAGGTAAGTGTGAACGGTCGAATATCACGTGGGTTATCAGAGTTGGTGTTAGCGGCGAAACATATTGATTAAGCTTTTTTACTGTCCTTTATGATCATTATGTATTACTAAAGTCATATCTATGATAATTAAAAGCATACAATGGAATTCTATTTTAAATATTATAATTCTATACAGTTTTCTGACATTCAGTGGTCGCCATAACTTCATTCAGAAATGAGTTTTCTTTATTATTAGCTGCCATTATGACATATCGTTTCGATAGCACTTGACATTTCAGCGGTCGCCGTGATTGAGCTTTTTGAATTGTTGCTTTTCACTTCGTATGTCTTTTTCTGCGCAGATATAAGAAATATCAGATCAGAGTTAGAAGAATCAAAAGATGACCTTGCTAGAGCAAATTCTGGTCAGTTCATTTTATAATGTATTCAATTTTTTATTTTCGTCCAACACATCCGTAGCGTATACCAGTGGTTCCCAACCGCCGGTCCGCAAAGCTTTTTTGCCGGTCCGCGAGAAATTTCGTTGTTTTTATTCCGTCTCAATCGCTTTACCGGAGACGAAGTTGCGTTGGTTTATTACGCAATTTCTCTTTCGACGTCATATTGCGACGTCTTTCGCGTCTGCTTGGCTCCGAGTAATCACAAATCTCGCTTTATTCAGAAACCTAAAAGTAGGCACGCGTGCTTCTTCTGTTCTGCGTGCTTTTCCTGATTAATATGATAAACCAGGATACAGTCGAGAACAGTTTAACATTCCAGTAAGAGATATGGACTTGTTGCCACCCTCCAGGTAGTCACGAGACGCGCAAAAATGCATTGGCCGCAGATATCTTTTCGGGTATTATAAGCAGGCACAATAGGATTTGAACCTGGTGCCAAGTTTGTGATGTAATGTACTTCATTTCGCTGGAGGCGTCAATCATATGGTAAACCCGATGAAAAAGCAAAAGCTTGATTAAATTACAGTCCTGATTTAAAAATAGTCACTGTCACAATTTTGGATATCTCTTGATAACGATTACCCATTCCTAAGTAATCGAGTAATCAAACTTTTGTTCGTATTTTAAACCAGTTACTTATGCCTTATGCGAAAAAAAACTAGATTTAATTAAAACGAGCAAAAAAATCAGTTGCACGCCACTGCAGAGCTACGTGTTTCATAAAGTTCCTTGAGGCATCGTTTGCAATCCTATATTGGAAACGAAACAGCAGCAAAGTTCCCACTAGAGTTAATTGCGTTTGTACATGATTTTGCATGTACATGTTTTTATGTGGAGTGTGTTTTTTCCTTACGCATAAGCACCGTACTGAGTGCCCGGCACATTATTTGATAGTTTTTCTTTGTGTGAAATGTTTTTAGGTGTGCTTTTTTTGTTTAGAAGCATATTGAGTGCCTGACATTGCATTATATTACGCAAATATATGTTATTCTTTCTGTTCCGGTCATTTCAATTTTTTGCCGGTCCGTGAGTACATTTAATTTGGGCTAAACACTCAGCTTGAATAGGAAATATCTAATGCGCAAACATGGTCAACATCGTCCACCTGGTTAATATGTACGGATTCAAGTATAAATAATATCAGTTATGGGATAAATAATATTTATTGAAGATTTTAGAGATTATTTCAGAAAAAGCTGGTATAGAAAAACTGAAACTATAATATTTTCTGCCAGAAATCCGAGAGCATCGTAGCGAAATTGCGGAACAATCAAACAAAATAAAAGATTTTCGAAATAACGCTCTTCAGCAATCTCGCCAAATTGAAACTCTACTGAAAAAAAACAAAGAGCAAAACTCTGTGGTCAATGAATTGAAAAAAGGTCAGTGACATTATGTTTCTGCAATTGATATTTGACATTGAGTCATATGATCTACGTCGTCCCAAAAGACTCTTTCTAGTGGCTTATTGGACACAAATTGAACTTATGAATCGTATTGTTGCTTCGTATTGTTGCTATGTTGATTCTTGTTTTGTTAAAAATCGGCTTTTATTTATCTACTGAATCAATTGATTTAAAATTTTTGAGTGGTTACATATTGTTGCTATTGCTAGTTGGCTATCACTTTTTGTTATTTTCAATATGTCAGTGTGCTGTATAGAATTCGTTTACCAAAATGCATAAACAAGTTCGTTCTGGAACGTCTTGGTACAATCAAACACTTTTTGACTTAGAGGATTTTAGTGTAGTTCCAGTAATCATGAAAGTTAGTCTCAAACAAACTGCGATAGACCAGACAGGATGTGACATAAAGTTTATGCATTTCATGTACATGATACGTTATTGCATCTCTGACAACCATGACGTTTTCTAGTATTATTGCCATTTTTTTGACAAATCATTTCATTTTATTAGAATTGATCGAAGTTCAAGAAAGAAATGATAAGTTGGAGAAAGAATTGATTGAACAAAATAAAACAAATAATGCGATGAAAAAAGGTAGCAACTGTTACTCTAGGTCTTTAAAGCATTCCTTGGTGTCGATTAACCGCTGTAGTTAAAAAATAAATTTTAAAATAACAAGCAAGAATATTCTGACATTGGAATGAAACATTGCGTGTTTAGGCGGAGCAAATATGTCTTATAATCTGAATATTGGTCTGGATATATCTCGAATTGAACAAAAACTTACAAAAACGGGGAAACTTCGAATATTTTAACGAAAAATGGGTTTAAATATAAAGCTAGCTTCATAGGTTTAGTAGATTCGAGTCATGTTAGGTACTGTATATGAAAGTTAGTATAGATAGACTTTACTAAAGACTTGTGCTCTTTTCGTCAAGTTGGCTACAAGTTCAACTGCAACCAAATTGGCAATTTTACCACTGACAGCATTTCGATTTTGTTAATGCTGGCAAATAGACGCCAACTTTTCTATTTTCTTATATTAAGAAATGGATCGAATCGAACAAAAACTCACTGCAATGGAGGAGCTTCAACAGGTTCAATCTGGAAATCAACAGATTTCAATGACAACAAACAAAACAACATTGAAACCGACTCCTTCCCCAGGTAAACCTCCATAGTCAGTGGCGAAGTGAAGATCTCATTGGGCGGGTTTAGAGTCGATTTTGATTTCATCGGAGCTGGAGTCAAATTATTAAATTATCGGATTTCCCCCCATATTTTCAATGGAAATATTAAAAGTCAAATTTCTTACAAAAACTTAAGTTATCAAGTTTACTACGCGGTATTAACAGAGGCCTGCATACGCCTGTGTCTTTCTTACCAAAATTAGATATTTTGACTCAAAATTTGAAGTTTTCTCTACCCAGGAGTCGATTGTTTATATTTCCAAGCTCACGGCTCTGTTCAGAATACCACAGCAATAACAACTTCATAACTGTCGTAGGAGTTTTTTAGTTAGCAAGAGTAATTGACTAAGAATATATCCAACCAGACACATATTGTGAAGTCTCGTGAAAATTGCAAGGTGTAAATTAGATATGGGAACCAATTATAGCGGCAAAAATTGCACGTTCATCGGTGCCGGCAAACTTTTTGTTACGATTAATAATAACACTTTTTTAAGTTTGTAAAACTGTAAACGAATTTCATTAACTTTTAGAATACTGCAAATTGAAGATTGGAAATATCTGTTATTCTGCTGTGGTACGAGTTGAAAATGATGTCAGCTACGACAAAGCAGTTGATATTTGTAAGAAACGTAATGCAGATGTTGGTTTGATTCGAGAAGAAGTGTCTTACAATGCGATTATAGATTTCCTGAGACGGAATATTCCAAAAGGTTATACGGGGATGCCAATAAGGACAGGAATCCGCTTTGATCCAATGGTTAGTATCCTGTGCATATTCTATTTATACTCGTAAGGCATAGGAATCGGTTATTAGACTAATGAATGAGGGAAGTCCGCAAATACAATACAGCAACAAATACTTGAAAATATCACACGAGCAATTTTAAAAGTAAATGATGACATTGTTACCAGGGTTGTCCAAAACGAATCGAATATTCGAAATTATTCGAATATCAAAGTATTCGAATACCTTTTCGGCTCATTTCCGAATAATTACGAATAGTAGTCACTTTTTGCCGTAAACACGGTGTTTCGTTTTACAGGAATCTTCAAACTACTTTTTACGCTTTCTCACGTATTGTAATGACGATGAAATAGAGTCGGCATTTTGATTGTTTATATTCAGCGTGAATGTACGTCGCATAGTGTTGCGACACATTTGCACGTTTGCGTTGGTGGACATTGCCGACATTCGTCTCTTAATTCACAAAATCATTTCCATGAGTCGAAAAATCGACAATCACCGTATTTCCCGGCTAATAAGTTCTTCGCTTTTCTAGACCCAATTTTGGCTTGATTTTTGGGGGGGAGGGGCGCCTTATTGAGAAAGCATGTTTATTTTATTTCTATGTGGCCTGCTTATTTTTCGCATTAGTCTTCTCAAGCATAATTTGTGTTACCTAAACCTTATATTTGGTTCTTATGGGTCTGCCAATCATGATATTTAATCGTAGGCCGGTTATCGTTACTTAAAAGAGAAAACACGGCCACCGCCACCGAGATAAAGTAAGTGATTTATGACCCTTTGGTTTTGCCGATTCAGCAGAAAACGACGGGGACATGAAACACAGCAGTGAAATAACCCGTGGACGTACCGTGTGGTACTTATCACATTCCAAAATTATTTCAACATTCGGGTTGATAGGATGTCCAAAATGATTGCCGCTTTTAATTTAAATTTACCGCTTCGTTGTTGAGAATAGTTAATTCCGTGAGTATGGTTCTACCAAACAAACATGATCTGGTTCTGTTCTGACCCTATCAAATTATAGATTGTTCAAAATGATTGTGATTTTTAACTTAAAATTACCGCTTTATTGTTAAAAATAGTTAATTCTGTGAGTATGATTCTACTAAACAAACGTGATCAGGTTCTAAACATTATTATTAGCGCATATTAGCATAACTGAACAACAGGGAACAATTTTTCTACCCGTCTTCTTGGAGGCCTATATGGAAAACCCCCTTTTTTTGAGTGCTAAAAATATACATCGTCCTATTTGCCATGTAGACTTATTAGCCGGGAAATACGGTATTTAATTGTTACGATATCCAATAAATTGTCATAAGTTGGGAAACAAGTTGATTTATTAGAAAAATACTTTCACCCGCTTTCTGGAAAATAATTTTGATAATGATGGTCAAAAGTATCGATAATGGAAGTATTAATACCAAATACCACGGTTATTTGTGAGCATGAAATGTGTGGTAAACTGCCCAATTATAATTAATTTCGGATTCGTATTTACAAAATATTAAAACTATTATAACTCAAAAATACAACGGCGATTTGTGGACTTGAATGTGTAATAAAGTATAAATTATTTTTCCGACTTGTGACAATTTTTTCGAGTACGAAAATAAGAATCAAAAATTAATTATATTCGGGCACAATATCACGGCATTCTGTGGACATAAATTGTGAGGCAAACTCGCGCGATTGATATTAATTTTTGATTCCTATTTTCGAATTTACAAAATACAACGGTGATCTGTGGACATTGAATGTGTGGTAAACTACCCGATTATAAATAGTTTTTGAACCCTATTTTCGTATTTATAAAATAATAAAAGTATTATTACACAAACATACAACGGCGATCTGCGGACTTAAAATGTGTGGTAAAGTTCCCAAATATATTTACTTTTTGATTCGTATTTTTGTACTCACCAAAAAATTGTCACAAGTCTGAAAAAGAACTCATACTTTATCCCGCTTTTTGACAAATAATCTGGATAATGGTTGGTATTTAAAAGTATGGGCGTTTTACTAGGATGATTTTGTGTTGCGCAAGCATTCAAATCCATCACCGATACCACTATTTAAAATGCCTTGTCGTATTATTTTAATTCTGTTAATTAACACAACTCATGTTATATAAAATATATATCGCAATAATCTGCAAACATGAAATGCCTGGTAATATAGCCAGGTTGTAGATAGAAGTTATTCCATTGTTTATTGTATGAAAATTCCTTCATACACTTAGATTCTATTACTGGATTTTATTTTCGAAGTATTCGAAATTTCATATTCGAAAATAATAATTTCGAATGTATTCGAAATAGTGAACTATTCGGTATTGGCCATCCCTGATTGTTACCAATCCTGGACTTTCTACACATCAGTATAGTTGGACCTGCTGATTAGAGGAAACCATCAGTCTTGATGATTGTGATAGAATTATGTATGTCAAGTGAATTAGGAATCCGCTAAATATCTGGTTACTTCTTGTTCATTCTTGTTCAAAAGTCTCATGCTTTCGAATTGTCATGAGTCTGTACGAGTGACATCGAATATCCTAATCAGAGTTTAATTTTATAATAATTGTTCAGTTTTGGATGAATCAATTCTATGCAGCATATGACATATCAGTGAGAATTACAGTTGATCAAGCATAAGCCAATAAAAATCTTCATCTAAACATTTTAATGTTTGTTCTCAGACACATGACGTCGCACCCGAAGATTCATTCATAAAATGGAGTCAAAGTTTTCCACGCACTGGAATTGAATATACAGATCTCACGGATGTTTCTCTCGTAGTTCATTTCAACGCGAAAGTGCAAGGAATGATCAATGTTCGTCGTGTCTCGGAGACTCATGGAGTTCTTTGTGAGATCCAGATCTAATGAAACATCTGTCTCGTTGCATTCTGTCCCCAGGTTATATTGTATTAGTAAAATAGAACTCATTGAATATTGGTTTAAAATTTATACAATTGACATTTCACTTAGATTGAATTGTTGTCAACAATTTATTGAGAGTCAGTTTAAAAATATTAAACATTTGTCTGTTTGATTTTTTTGCCGTTTTCGATCGAACTTTTATGACGGTATATATGTTAAATTCGCATATTTTAATATTTAACTTACGTTATTTTAGAAATTTTGAAAAAAAAAAATATTACAAATTTGCCTCGTTAACTAGAAATAAATTTAGCTTCCATGTGATATTTTTTTTTTGTTTTCATGTCTGTTTCTCAAAACAATCAGGCTGTGCAAAAAAAAATTCCAGATTCACTGAATTGAGATAGCTCATGTAGTGATAATACAGGGTAGTGGGCCGCGGACAGGAAGTCTGAGGGAGATAGGGCAGTGGGTCGTGAATAGAACTCAGGTTAGACCAAAAATTCGGATGTGACCTCAGTAAAAGATATTTTATGGTCGAACTCCAAAAAAGTCAAGTGGTGAGAACAAATAGTTTAGGATGAATTATAATAGCATATGTAACTCATATTTTTAATTCATTACAATATTTTTTAAAATAGATTATTGCAAAAAATAACAGTTTATCCAGCGATGTCATTTTTTCATAACGAAAGTCACGCGTTATATATAATCCGATTGAGATATAAAAGTGCGTCGCAGCATAACTGCGCGTATGCTTCTATATATATTCGAAGGCGGTAAATTTTTAGGCATAAAAGCGAGGCGACGAAACTATGATAAAGCACACGTGCTCAATCAATATAGGTTAATTTTCGCCTCGCTTATTGACCATTACTACCAACTTCACTGTGGGGTTCTAAGAATTTCTTCTACAATATGATGTCATAATTAGTAATTAAAATATACTTGAAAATACAAACAAAAATATAATTTTGATTTGATTTTCCACCCTACGATCTATTGAAATTATCCTAGAACAGAGGTGTGCAAAATGTTTTGTCAATGGGCAATATAACCAACTTGAGATCTAGCAGGGCCACACAAAAAAAAATAACGGGAAAAACAAGAGACGATATAGCGGCAATCGGTTACCATCACAGTAATGGATGCACCGGACTAACCGGCAAAAGATTCAATGCAGCGACAAGAGCAAAAATAACTTCATGTATTTTTATCCACGTCAGCGCCTTCTCTGACATAAACTATCGAGTCAGGATTTTATGCTCGATGGGAAAAATCTGAGTGTTTAAAAGAGCTATACTAAATGACTTGGTAGAACAGCCTGATGCACAGCCGTGCCATAGAAAATATTTTATATTGAAGAATGCTCGATTTTTGTTTCCAATTCAATCTGATCAAAAAATGTTTCTCGATCTGAACAAAGCCTTTGATACTGTTGACCGCAAAATCTGTATCCAAAAGTTGCAATACTATTCATAAATGTTGTGTTCGATCAAAAAAAAAACTACTGACTTTATTTAATCACAATTTTTTTTGTTTTTTTGAAGGGCTAATGATTTAAATCAGATGTGAAGTTATATTTTAAAGTTCATTGCGAATATTCAAAAATTAGAATATTTTTTATTTAAAAATAACTTTAATCTCGGTGCCTATCTTTTATAAGCATTTACAAAGCTACAAACTCACTGTTTTACTTTTTAATTACTAGTAAATTCAGCTAACTTCACTATTGAATTTTAATAGCTTATTTAAAACCCTTCAATGCATGATGTCACAGATTTTTATGAAAAAATTACTAGTGGTAGCATGGGGTATGAAATACCATCTTATTTTTTTATTTTTCGTTATCTACTCCCGTGGGGAAGAGTAAATTTCACATGTGCCATATTTGACTCTCCATGCATTCACGGAAAAATTGCACCATATCTTGTAACGTAAAACAAATCATTTTTTAGGCAGCAATATCAGGCAAAACTAATATTGGGTATGAAAATAAACAATCATGACTTTTAGTAATCCTCTCGCACATAACCATCCCTGCATGGGATTCGAACCTGCGAACCCACGCAGAGTAGTTAGAGGTGCGGTGGCGAGCGTATTCCTAACGCTTAGCCCGTTGAGCCACACCGGCGTGCCAAAATGTTAAATTTTTCTTATATTTTTTTGCAACTATTGTCATTATGAATTGTATCACCTCTACACTAGTAGTCTACTAACCAATTGTTGTTACACATTTCAATCTTCTGCTCATTGTGGACATGTTATTTGCTACAGTTTCATGTCCTACATAAATTAGATATAAAAAATACTGAGGTATTTATTGTTACCTGTTATTTATTGTCCAATCCATTGAATAGAATCTTTAATTTCCTACTGCAATACCGACATCCTTCCGGCTATCAGGTTTGACGTTAACTGTACACTCGCCCGCAGCCAGTGCTTCAGCTGAGCAGTTGCCGTGGTTACCTTGATGGTGCTTGGAGTCTATTTTTATATTAACAAGAGACTCTGGATTCCCTGAAAATCCGCTGGATACTTGAACGTTTGTGTGATTATTTTGCTTTTTCATTCATATTCATTTTAGGCTTTCTATTTCATGTTATTTCGTCATGCTGTGTTAGACCCCATCTAGGGTGTCGCTGCTCGATAACCAGTACTGGTTTTTCAGCGTTTCCCTCTACCCTGAAATGCTATTCTTCTTTTATTTCATTCTGTATATGTACCTTGCGTATTTTCAAATGGTGGAAAAAATAAATTACTGATACTGATACTGATAACCACCTTTGTATATATTGTCTAGCCTAGGATGTCTAAACCAGATTGAAGATTAACTGAAATTCTTGGAAAACATTATTTTCGGCAATATGTTGATCAAAAATAATCTAAAATTGACAAATCAGAACAATTCAAATATTAGAAATTGGAGAAATTAAAAAGAATAATCATGAAGTAAATGCTATCGATGGAATTCCCAAAAACAGTTTTGAGATTGTCTCAGGCAAAGATATATATCACATTTTGCACAGCTCATGTTGCTTTTCATTTGACTTCCCCTTTTTCTGCAACGCATTCTATTGGCTGACACAAGACGCCAACCCCTTCTTTATCGAAACGAGCACTCTTTGTGGAAGAATTCTACTTGCAGCTTTATTAGGTGTTGATGGGTGTACACTATCAATACTTGGTCGACCACGGCGAAGTCCCAATTTGGCCGCCATGCACAGACATATAGAGATTTTAGTGCGTAAATCTCTTATTGGAAGCGGATTACAAGAGTGTACTCTTTTGCGAAGAAACTCTAAGAAAAACAAGCAGTAACAAGAGCTTCAGAGCTCCCTGTTCCCAAAATTAACTAAAGAAAAAAATTATATATTCCAGTATCTAGAAGTTTGGGTGATTTTTAATGTCTCTTTGGCAGTATACGCCAGATTGAATAAACAAGTTTTCATTTTCTCTTACCTTACAGATATTTTTGATTAATCTGCATTAAATTTTAATGACATATGTAAACTTATATTTTATATTTCATTGCGATTTCTTTAAAAAGAGAAAAATGCTAAAATTAATTTTGCGATGTCATTGTTTGTCCCATAATCAACCTCACGCGACATCGCTAATCCGATTAAGATCTGAAACTACGTCACGACATAACTGCGCGTATGCTTCTATAAATATTCGATTGCGGTAAATGTTTAAGCGTAAAAGCGAGGCGACGAAAACATAACGGTATAGATTGATATTGATTGCATTAAGGCAAGTAGCTGATAGGATATTTAGCTGAGTTTTCGAAGTTTGAATAAACGGTTTGAACTTGGTAATTTTTAGACGTTGTTTAAGATAATAAGACATTTCTAAAAGTAAAAACATTATCGCTGTTAAAGTCATTCAGCTATTTTCGAAGCTAAACTATATATTTATATATATATGCTATAGCAAGAATGTGAGGTGAGAACAATATTCAAACCTGGTTACAAATTCAGACCACAACTTTAAAAACATCGTCGAGTAAGAATTAGTAAGTTTGCTATTTCTAGTATTATGTTGCGTTTGCCTCAGGCGATGAAGTCAAACGAAACGAGCGGCGTCGTGGTTTACGGTAAAGATAGACAGCTGTTTTAATTTATCATTGCTGACATGACCTGGTGTATAAATGGTAAAGGCTGGTCCTCAACTATCCCGACACACTCTGTGCAATAAGAATTGCCTTTTACCTAAATAAAAAATTACGATGTAACTTCCCTACGACCCTTCCGAGTCCAGGTATACAGTATAAGAACGCTAACCTATATGAATATAATTTATAAAAAGTGAATTTAATAATCCACACCTAGAATCAGCTATGGCCCACAAAATTTCAAATTTTAATTTACAAGACTGCGATGAACAGGCACTGCACCGTGAAGACTAATAAATAACAATTAATTCTAATGAAGACAATTAGTAATGAATCCTTTAAAATTTACATTTGAAAACTGTAGCCGTGAAAAAGTGAGTTATCGCCGTTTACTGACCGTTTACTTAGGTTTTCTTCAAGAACTTCAGTTATGAGAAATGGTTTTTTTAGTCCGTCATCAATGCTTATTTACTAGAGTGTAATATATACAGCAGTAGTTCCTAACCTTTCATAGCTCAGGGCCTGTTTCCCGATCCTTTTCGCACTCATGGCCCCCCTGTTTATTATTTATATTGGTATTTGACCTTATATAAAACTAGAAAAAATTGGAGGTTTTCTTGAAAAGTGAAAAGTAAAATTCATTTTGCACCTAGCATTATGGCCCCCGCTGCAGTATATGGTCACGGTAGCGCTTGAACGTCAGTGGTCGCCCGGATGTTGCTTGGAGAATAATTTACAGTTAAGAAAGCGTTTTCTGAGTTAGTGCGCTAATCCTTACATCAAATTTCCCTAAGAAACTTCTTTCAAATATATACAGCATTGCGTTGAAATATACTCAAACAATTTTGATTTTTCTAGTTATAAGGTAAATACCCTGAAACCTCGAGATGAAAACCTCAATAGTTTTTATCTTAATCTACCTCATCGCTTCATCCTGGTGTCAAGATGAAACAGTGTTCCATTGCTCTCCCAAGCCTGGTTGCCAGATTGCACAATGTGATCCGGTTGCTGTAGGTTGGGACAGGCCAGGCTTCAACATTGATGAACATCTGCATGACAAAGAGTTTCCTATTACGT